CTCCTTGTTCAGGTCAGATGTTTCTGTGGGTTTCACCAGCCTGGTATTGACCCCTTTGCTCATCAGTCCTCCTTTTCTGCATCTGGATTTCAGTTCAAGGTTTAGCTGTGGGAGTCTGCTTCTACTTCCATCAGCTACTGTATGAAAGCTATACAATGGCATATGAATTAGTCATTAATCTCATCAGGAGAGGACATTTAAGGTATCATCTCCTCTGTTGCTTAGATTATTAGTTGGTGTCATCTTTGTAGCTCTCCAGACATTTCTCTAGTGCCTCATTTCTCTTTGAACTTACAACGTCTCCCTCTATTTATACTATCTCTTTTTCTCCTAAAGGTTTACCGTCTTTCAGTGACCACAGACAGAAAATGTTTATGGCACCATTAGGCCTAAAATAAGGAAATCTTAAGTGTTTGGTACATTTTTTTTCAAATGGCTTTAGTGAATATGACAAGAAACCATATGTAAATCCTTTTGACTCTTTTGAAAGATCTGAAATGTGGCCAATGTACTTAGAAGACAGTGTAAGAGTCAGAAAACACTTTAAGTTACAAGTGAAGGAGAGGATGCAGCAGAGTGATGACAGGCACAGGTAATACTGCCAGACAATGCAGTATCACAGTGAAGTGAAGCTTGCTTCTTGGGGGCTTTAAAATAAAAAGAAGAAAGCCCACCATCACTCAGGAGACAATAGTGGTCTTGGTGTTACTGATCTTACTCTTCTTTGTGGTTTTCCTAGCACACTAATTCTTCTTTTAATAGAAGAAGTGTTTTATATAATATTTTTGACCATGTATTTCCTATTTCCATTTTCTCGACTCCTTACAGATTCTCTCTGCCTGCCCTACCCATCATAATTTTTTCTCTCATTTGTTGGGCACAGATGACACACTATTTGGAGTTCATTCTCTCCTCTGCTACTGGCCTCTTGGGCAAAGAACTGCCCCCACCCCGACTGCTAACCTTGGTCATGCTGTCCTAACTGTGCTTGCAGGAGATAAACTTAAAGAAGACTGCTTAACCCTGCCCAGTCAAAGTAAGACAGTTTTTCAATTTCCCTGCTTCTGAGATGGTCCATCTGATACTTTAGGCCTTAGCCAATGTTGGTCCCCCTGTGATACTGTGAGACTTTGGGTGACTGTACAGGTAGCCTGCTGTTTCTGTCTTTGTTTGCACCTTTTGGGAGTAGCACACTTGAACTTCCTGCCTACCCTAGTATTGTTATTTTCCTTCTCAGGTCTTTGATGAGGTTGAAGACCAGTCATAGCTATATCCTCTGTTAGATAGACAAGACTTAGACTTTTCAGATTAAGACTGACATATAGTATGTATCTATTGCTCAATGTTGTTCTCACTGGAAGTAGGTTTTAATTTGTGTATGTTTACCTTTCCTTTTCCTGGAATATACTTGACATTTTGTTGTCATAGTTGCATATAGCTTTTCATCAGGCTTAAAACCTTCTTGCTCTTTCTGGCTCTCTTTCCTGCTGTTCCCCTGGGGCAGACAAGACTTTTCCTATCTTTCTCTTCTGTGTTCCTTCTGGCTCTGTGTATTTTTACCTTTTTGTTTTCTCTTTCCTTCCCCCCTCCACTTTCTAACAAATCTTCTCACCAAAAAAAAAAAATCCAAATAAACAAACAAAAAACAAAACCTTTTTCTTTATACTAAAAGAGGAATTGTAGCCATGTCTTGCCAATGAACCTGTAATGGTGGACATACCCCCTTGGATGTGGCTCTAGGCAGACAGAAGCAGGAAGAGCAAAGCTTGAGGCATGGTCTCACTTGTGTGGGCTTTTTTTCTTGTGTCAGCTGGTCTGACAGGAAGGGCAGAGAAGCACTCCTAGGGTTATTTATTGTTATCTGTGTAAGTGTTCCCCAATAAACACCCATTTAACTTTTATCTAGAGTCTAGTGAAATCTTTACACCTTCATCTTCACTCATTTTAATAATAAACACAATGGAAGTTTAACCATAAAATAAACAAAAAAAATCAAAGAAAGTCTTTGTCTGTCTCTTCCTTTCCTCCCCCATCCCTCCCTCTCTTTGCTTTCCTCTCTCCCTTTCTCCTTTCCTCCCTCCCTCCTTCCTTCCCCCCCCCCTCTCTCTCTCTCTCTCTCCCACACACACACACACACACA